ACCTGTCAAACAGTCCGATCCCATGAAAACCATATGATTGTTACATATGTAAGTATGCGTGCACGTTTACATGTGTGTGCATGTGATATACATACACGCAGATATAAAGTACTACTACTGCTTATTAGGAACACACTTTCAATAGTTTTCTTGCCAGCTAGCTTCTTTTGTCTATTTAAATTAAGGGAGTGTTTGATTCGCCCAAAATTTATGGAATATGACTGAAAAGGAAAGAAAATAGAGAAAAAGTACACCTTATTGTAAGTTTTTCATAATATTTTCCTTTTCTTTGTGTCTCACACATCGTAACCCACATTTTAGGACACCCATTTCATGATTTTTGTTGAGAAAATCGGAGAAAAACTTGTGTGATGTTTTCCGCAACTCCTTTCATTTTCTTTGATTTTCATGAAAACAACCAAACAGGCCCCTTATTTTGTAGAATTTTTTCTCTTGAACTTTGGGGAAAACGAATAGATCTGTATTCAGATGTGATTTTGTACCAACCATGCAGATTAGAAATGATCACTTCATTGGCCGTTGGTTTCTTTCAAAATTCCAACATTTTTTGTTTCTATTGATTACTAACTTTACCAGGTCACTAGATAGTCAGTGGTGATTTTTCATCATTTATGTTCAAATCCAAGTAAGCTACAATACTAGTGGTGGCTTACGAGTTCAATTCAAATATTGTAATTTGTCACGTTACTAGTAGAATGCAAACTGTAGGGACTGTATTTTTCATCTTGTAACTGCCATATTTATACTGTATAAATTCAAATATTGTAATTTGTATGTTATTGGTAGAATGCAGACGGTAGGGACTATGTTTTTCATCTTGAAATAGATCGAATATTTATGCATGTGGCGGCGAGTAATTAGGCCCAACCTGAAGTTAATGAGCCATAAATAGAGTCCAGAAATCGATTATTGTCCAAAAATTTAAGCTATTAAGTATTTGATCCAGCTCCTGTTTAAACTTATCACTCTTTCTTATATTTTTCAATGTGGGACTATATTCATACATGAATATTCAATTATCGATCTCTTTGCTTGTGTGTATAGTTCAATCTTCTACTGGACTAATTTGATCTAAAATGACAATCATGTATTTGTCGCATGGCTACCAAACATCCTTAGGAATCTGATGATTTTTTAGGGCACTATTTAAGTCCTCTCATGAGTAAATAAGAGGTGGTTTCCCAGAGCTATGGAGGCCTCTTATATTTTAGGATTATTTCGATATTAGCCTCCCAAATCTTCCATATATTTTGTATAAATGGGGAATATCCTATTTACTTTAACTTTTTTGGGTGATTTGTTAGTTATATCCCTCTCACACAAACCCAAACTCATTACCTTTTTAACTTATACATGTTAATGTTAAGCTCCTCAAACCCCTTTAACAAAATCCTAACCTAACTCTATTTTCCACTTCATCTTCTCTAATGTCTTCCTCACTCTTCAACTCTAATGCCATATTTGTATCAAATAAATTCGCCCATATTTGTATCAAATAAATTCGCATAGAGAAAGACATTGGAGAGGTGCTAGAGAAGATGAAATGGAAAATATGTTTGGGTTAGGATTTTATTGATCGGATTTGGGTGAGCTTAACGAATATAAGTTAAAGTGGTTAGTGCGCTTGGGTTTGTATGAGTGGGTTATAGTTGTCAAATCAATAAAAAAGTTAAATTAAATAGAATATTTCCATCATTCTAACCAGGTTTTAGTTAGGGGGTTTCTTTCAACATACTAATAGGATTTCGGGGGTTTGAGATTAATTTTAAATATTCGGGGGGCTAATATCAAAATATTGAAGATTTGTGTGTGTTTGGTGGGGTCTTATTTTTTTTTGGATTGGTTGTGTGGGTGTGGGTG